ACACACACACACACACACACCTTCACATGTATAAAAACTACTTTGTAGAAGTGCAGGCAAAGACACAGGCCTTTGCTTCTGTCACCGGTGGGTCATATATGGACTTTGTATCCGGAAATGAAAAAGAGAAATTTTTGTCTGAAAGTTGATAAAAACTGAAGTGAAAGAATCAAGTAAAGCTGGTCCAAAAGATCCTTTCATATTCTTTCTCACAATCTAAATAAAAGCTATGTTTGATGTTTTTGTGAAATTAAAATGTTTATAGAATAATTAGCTAAAAAGTCTAAGCTGGTCTGCTTCTGTACGACACATTATACTCCAATTTTATGCTCCCTTTCTAACAACAGGCCAGAAAAAAATGTGAAAATTAGCCTTTTAAGCTAGCTTCGACTTTTGCATTCATCATTGCATTGAGGACTTGTTTTCCTTTGAACAAAACTGTTCGCACTCATCAGCCTGGCTTTCAGGATTTCTCAGCGCTACCTGACGAGCAGCATAACTTCTTTTCTGCTGTCGGTTGCTTTCGGTTTTGTTTACAGTGGGTTTCCTATAAATTAGCAGCTTGAGTCAATAACTGCTGTTCATTTTTACATTTATGTCTCTAACTGTTTGTTTTATTACTAAGTTTACGTGTGATTTATCATGGGACCACTTAAAAGCTGCAGCTTTCCGTAAAGAGCGTTTTAGATTTGTTCTTGAGACAGACACAGATCAACAGTTATATTACAGACAGATAACACTGCTGCACTATGGCACACCAGCACAAAGAAAGCCCCAGAGGGGTAAATTCTGGGTACTGTAAGCTGGACCCAGACCCAAAGTGTAACCAGCACCTCGTGTCATACAGCCACATGAGGTTTAATAAGTAAAGAGCGGTAATTCCTCAGTATCATAAATAGCGTCCTTATAACTCTCACATCCTCAGGTGCTTGTGACACTTTGGGAATTGACCCCTTGTAGATACTCAGTGGGGAAGCCCTGAAACAGCTGCAAGACACAGCAGACCCCAAGCTGGCACATGTGATGAGGGATGAAGTCATCATTTTCTAAAATCATTCTTCCGACTCTGCACATGTCACAACCATGTGATCAATACTGAGCCAAACACAGACACTAGCCTCCTTTGTGAGCATGTTTTGCTTCATTAATGGTGAAAATTTCCTCAGACAATTATTAATGAGGCTACTGCCTGTGTTATACATGGCTTTTACTAATCACACACATCCACAACTATTCAATGCTTATACACGCCAAATACACACCTGTTGTCTCTCTCTCACACACACACACACACACACACACACACACACACACACACACACACACACACACACTTACAACATATTGCCTTGCTTCAAAAGCATACGTGGGTCTGCCCAGAGTCCTCTTCATTAGCTCTTTGTGATAAATGAGAGAGCGCGGAGATTGTTGCTGTGTGGTCATCAGAGAGAATAAAGCTTTGTCAATAAGAACTTGGGAAACAACACTGATGTGCTTGAGCTCTTATACTGTATGCTGCCTTAATTTGACTCTCAATACACAGACGCATTTTCTTTTTTCTCAGAAGCAACACACGTGCACGCACACATACAGTGACTGGGGATGAATTAGACATCTCATATGCAGTGCACACAAGCTCTCCTGCAGGTGTAGACATCCTGCCATTGCGCGGAGACACAACACCCCACCCCCACAGACACGACTACAGCAACGCTTGTGTATTTTATTTGTTTTCCTACAGTTGTAATGACAGAATGTGACTGTAAGAGATTTTATTGGTGGATTTTCAAACAGGGATTATGCTGGAGTTACATTTGAGTCTTTTCAAGACAATAACCAAGGGAAAGTAATTATTTAGTATATTATATTACTTTTTAGGTTAAACATTTTCTGAATCAAATTAAATGCTGTGTACCCATATACGCAACACAAAAAGGATGGATGGATTAAGCAATGATAAATGGTTTTTATCATGTAGGGCTTTAGGCAAATGACCTTTTCCCATTATGACATGGTGAGCTCCCTACTCTAGCTCTCCAAAGCCTTCTGCACATGCACTGTCTTCTGTCACGATACCACTTTTTGATTCAGTGAGTAACATCGCTGAGAGGTCACAGGCATGTACAAAACCACATCTTAACATTACCACATACGTTAGTCCAATATATTTAGACTTCCTACAGACTTATGATGATGACCCTAGTTTGAAAAGACAGTAGAAGAAAAAGGAAGAGAAAATAAGCCTTTTACCTCCAAATGGTGATAAAGTGCTTGTTACCATGGTTACCTACATTTTTGATGTTTTATTAGATTTATTCCAAAAAGAAAGCAATATTTTAACACGGTAATCTACATCAACCAGCATCTAAACACAGAAAATAAACTTCCACTAGATGTAAAAACACCTACAGATCAATTCAATGCACCCTCGTTAGGAATGGAAAGCAGTACTGATGAATTTAAAGATCTCCACAAGGCTTTCCGGTCTGATAAAGCTTTTAACCTTTAAACCTTTATTCAGCCTTTCTTATACCATGAAATGTTAGAATAAGGTCAAACTTCAGTTTAATCTGTGCATAGTTGAAAACAATGCATCTGATTTAACTCTTTTTATCAGTCTTCTCATGAGCTGTTGCAACACATCCGCTTTTAGAAACATGCACTTCCTGATAGACCTGTTCGAAAAAAATACGCACTTCCCTCTGCACTGCCTCATTTTAATCATTTCCTCTTCGATACTCACACACTGCACTACTGCAACACATTGTTCTTTTGCCTTTTCAGACGTCATGTTAGCACCAATTCAAACCAATGTTTTTACTCTGAACTGCTCCCATTTCAAATTATGAGCATAAACAAAAAAACGATATTTGTGGAGTCCGGAAGGAACATTGGGAGTTACAGCCCATTCCTGAGGTCACGGACAACTGGAGAGTGAAGTAAGAAAGGACAGGAAAGCATGCTGTGACCTTCCCCAGCAACTGTCGCCTGTATCTCTACAAAACACGCACTGGACTTTAGAGCAGAAATTGTGATGACACACACAAGGGCACTGGAGAGGTGCTGATAAAACCATCCCTCAGGAAGTTGTCTAAACTTACTCTCCCACCATACCAATCGCTTGATTCATACTTGAAGGTTTAACCTTCTTCTTGGTTCCTAGCACGTGCAAAACCCAAAACAATCTGCCTCCAGCATAGACTGCAGAGAAGAGCACAGGGAGCAAGTGCAGTCTTCATGCTACTGCCAACACTGCTTAGGCTCCTTAGTTTCTGTCAGAAGGGGAAGGTGGTAGAGAGGGACTGTCATTGTGAGCACAGTTAATCTGAAGAATGAAGGGACAAGATGAAGAGGCTGTTGGTGAGTAGGACACATACCATGGAGTCAATAGGTAATGGTAATGCTCTACAGAAGCATGCTAGAGAAGCACAAAAGCTGAGCACTGTATGAGTGAAGGTGGGACACTTGTTGGAGGTCGCGTTGCTTACACTTGATTGGTTACTGGCAACAGAAGTAATAATGATGCTGTAGCCATCATGACCATCCAAGAAAGCTCAGCACGTCTTTGGATTATTCACTCATACAGTGTAGCAGCCACACAGCTCAGGTACAGGTGTACAGACACACAAACACAGGCACAAAGCTGGCTTGGACACACACACACTTACCCCTCGCCTCAGGCTCCGGAGGCAGTGCATTTTGGGTTTGGAGGCCATGAAGTCGTTGAGGCGGTGGGAGAGGGGCTCCTTGTGCTGCTTGGGAGACTGGGGGTCGTTGGGAACAGCAGAGGGTGAGGGTGGGGATGAGGCTGGGGGGGCAGGTGGGGGCTGGTGGGGGGACGTTAACAGGGACATAAGCTACCAATAAGAGAGGGAGCCGTGACGGAGAGGAAGAGGAAAAACGTGGAAGAAGAAGAAGAAGAAGAAGGGGTCGAGAATCCAACGAAAAAAGACAAAGGAGGAAAAGGAGGAGGGAACACAAAACAAAATAAATAAGCCTCCTACAAATATTAAAAAATAAACACACGCAACAGAAAACCCAAAGGAACATAAAAGACAACCAAAGGGATGTCAAACCCAGAGTAGCAGTTATGTTGTGGGAAAAAATAAACTGTTCAACACATAAAACATAAAAAAATTAAAGAATTAAAAAGAACAAAATGACCAGAGTGAGTAGAAAGCGCACAAACGTGTTAAAGCAAGCAGATGCACAAAGCAAACAGCGAAGAGTTTCAAAGCGCATGCCGGCTTCCATTTTAGAAACCTCCGTTTGAGTTTTGTTTTTTTACTTTCCCAACCTCGTCAACATGCCAGCTAAGACGAGTAATTCACCACATCCCCGAGGATAACAGCTGCTGAATTTGAGGCCATCATCAGCCTAATCTAATTGCTTATTGCGGCTCTAAAACATCTGACTGCATAATTCATCAACCAGCAGTTAAGGAGAGAGAGTGAAGCAGTGATGAGTTTTAGGATACCACATGATGCACATTGCACATGCACTGGTGCGCGATTAAGAAATCTTTTTTTTTTTTCTGTAAACCAATAGTTTTTGTGTTTCCGTTGGCATGCATGTGTCCTTGTGTGCATGTACAGTGTAAATACCTCTCTGTACACTATGCTCCCAAATTCTGCCTTTACAAGTTTGCCTTAATTTTGGGAGGTTGCACCATTTTCTGCACACCAGGGTTTCTCATGTAGCATTGCACAAACTCACTTTCTCCCTCACCCACACAGACGTGCACACACACACACGCGCACAAACTCACAAACGACTGCTCAATCACACTCTGTTCTAATTCAATACCAACAGTGCCACCAGCCCATAAGACAGCCAGAGATCAGTCTTGATGTTTAGACACAGGAAGCTAAAGGAAGCTACTCAAGGATGATCAGTCAGTGGAAAAGTACTGAGGGAAGACTGTTACATCAGATCCAAGAGGAAGTTAATATCTGCCACTTGAGTCCGTTCATAGAGTGAAAAGTAGAAATATATTAGTGTGTGTTATGAAAGGGAGGCTCCAAAATCGGTGAGGGTGATTGCCAGGGGAGGAAACGGGTGGCAAATAATAACAACAAAAATGGCAATAATAACAGAGAACTAGCAATAAATTTCTGAAGTTAACATAGTGAACAAAAGTCAAAAAAATCTATTAAAAATATATAAATTTAATACAGAATCAACACCAAGACTGTAACACACACTACAAACACTGAACACATATATTTCTACAGCCACTAAATAAAAAGTCATAAGAACAAACATAATGGGACCTGTAATATCTCTCCACCCCAGCCCATATAAATCTCCTGAAAGTGCAAAGTGAGCTCCAGGCGAGGAAACTGCACCACAACTAGTGATGTTTTGCAATACGTTCGGGTGTAGCAGTGATTTTTGAGTAAGGTGTTCATTCATTGTTACCTTGTTCTTGTTCTTAATGAAAGGCCACAGTTTGCTTTTGGCCTTGACACCAGGCTTCTCTTTGCTCTCTTTGGTGTTGGACAGGCTGGTTTCAGATACTGTCCTCTTCATGGCCTGGCCATAGTCCTCAAACTCTACATCTCCTGGGGGCTCGAAACCAGACTTGAAGGACTCCACCACCTGCTTAGAGTCCTAGTGAGAGACGACAGTTGCAGCAGTTAGCAGAACCCTTAATCCTGGAACCTCTTTAATTGCGTCAACGACTTTTTCAAAGTAGCTTTTCAGATACCAAACAATAACTAAAGGGAGGGTCTTTGTCGTTTGAGAATGTCTCGAGCATCGTAGGTCTGGTGATTATACGCAACACAAATGTGGCCCCGTGACTCAGTTGTTTATATCACTTTCTCTCTGATAACGATTCAAGAGTGTGTCAAGAAAGAAGAGAAGCTGGAATTACTCAGTTTGTGGCCTACAGAAGAAAGAGGAAAAGGCCTAAATCTGTCAGGCAGGAGTTATGAGCAAACACTGAGGTCGGGGATACAGCCAGGCTTCTCAGACACAGGAAGACGCACATTCATCAGTTGCAGTGCACACCAGCCTTTCTGAACTGATAATAGCAAAGGGTCTGGTTGGAGTTAGGATCAGGGGGTCAGAGATCTGCTCTTGTGTCCTCCATATGTGAGAGAAGAAGAAAAGAGGAAGAGTATCTGCCAGAGGAAAAGTAGCATGTGATGTGTTATTCCCTGCCGTTGTTTACTCCAGCACAGAGTCATCTTCCTGGAGCCTAGCCAAGGACACACACATACACAGCTACACATACACAAACTATGTGATCCCTGCGGATGGTTTTGGGTTTTTTTGTCATACAGCAGGCAGCCAACATGTGACAGCTCAATATATCACACTTTTAAACACAGGCAAATGCTGCTCTCCTTTTACCTATTTAAATAATAAATAACTATAAGCAATGAGACACAACCTTAATCCTTGGTTTAGGTTTTCTTTAAGGAATTGTCTGACATATTAGAAACTGCCTTGTTCTCTTTCCAGGAGAGATAAATGACAAGACTGATAAACCTCTCACATCTGCCTATGAAATATGAAGCCGCAGCAGCTGGCAAGATTTCTAAACTTAGCATAAAGACTAGAAACGGGGCAAGATTTAACACATTAGTGTGTGCGCTTTACAGCTACTCATAGCTAGCCTTTGTTACCATTTACCAGAGTTAGGCTACCGAACTCTGTGTTACTCTGTTCAACTAAAAACCATGTCTGTTAACCGGCATTCATCATCTTTAAGGTAAAAAATAACGGTGTTGAAGTTTGAATTTTATTCAGATCCACTTTAAACATATTTGAATAAAAAAGAGTAGCCAAATAGGAAGCACTAAATGCCTAATTCTCTGTGACTTTTCGTAATATATTCTCAAAAACGCCTTCACTTGATAAATGCTCCTAAATATACGTGTCTTTCAGATTTCACATCCCCAGTGTGCAGCTCTGTCAGAAATGGTAATCCTACAGCCAAAATGGATATAATCCTAATGACACAATCACTCTTACTATTTCAGTCTTTATAAGTTTCCTTCCAAAACCACACATATTACACAATTGCTTTCACCAGGTGTGAAGTACATCTGTTGAGGGATTAATGGAATTTTCTGTCTAATATCAGCGTAATACCCCTTTAAGGAGGACTACAGTGAGTATTTTTAACACAGAAAGCTAAAGAATTAGTGACATACAAGCTAAAGAAATGTATGTCACAAATTTTCCTTACTGTTAGAGGGGACTATAGTAATTGAATAAGCTTGTACAGCTTTTCTATTTACGACAAGGTCCTCCCACTTTGTTTGGAGAGGCGAGGTGTTTTCACCTTTTAACAAGTCCCCCAAGACTTCAACTACTTGTTGTTTAAGTGAAAGCATAATTGGGATTGTGTGGGTTGTCAGTGATAGACTGGCTGATTGAGTAATAACCCCCATACAGTGATGGGTTAACCAAGACCTGGTTAAGAGGTACATGTATATAGTATACATATATAGCTGGCAAGACACTAGGTGCAGACTGTGCAGAGGTGCTCCTGAGACAATCCAACATATAATAGTAGGGGTTCAAGATGCTAACAGGCAGGGCGTATATGGAATGCCATAACCAATTTTCTGGCATAGTATACAGGAACATCTCTGCCGAGTATAGCCTGGAAGTCTCAAGATGAAAATGGGATAAACCCCCCCCCCCATAGCAGTGGTGGACAAGCAGAGAGGACGACTGTAGTGACAGATACAGCTATACCGAGTGATAGCAACATCTGGAAGAAGGAACACAGCAAGCTCAAGAAGTAACAAAGGCTGAGAGAGGAGCTAGAGAAGATGTGCAGGATGAAGGTAAGAGTGGTCTCCATGGTAATGGAGCAGTAACCCCCAAGCTGGACCCAAGTTTGAAGGATAAAGACCACCCAGATATTATAATATATACAGAGAGAGGCTGTAGAGCAGCTGTATATGCTTCTTCCACATGCTACCGAGGCCCTGTTTGTTAAATGAAGAAATTGTTTAATTGCCAGTATGTTTTGTTTCTTTAGACTTCAGTCATCCAAAAGATCTTCCAAGTTTTTCATTAGCAAAACCCACATTCTCCGATACTCAACCCACAAATGCATTTTCCTTACTATTGTGGCACCATTTAAGGGGAAATACACAGGCTTTTCAAGGTTATAGGATTTATTGCCAATTAGTATTGTTACCACAAGGAAATAATTGACTAAATGGATAAATAGACAGATACTCACAGCCTTGGGCTCAATGGACTCGGCAGCATTTGTCATGCCATCTAAACATTTTCCCACAATGGGCAGCACCTGGCGATCCACGTCTGCAAATGTCTTCATGCACACTGATATCCTCTCAATTCTTTTCTCCTCCATGTCTTGAAGTTTCTACAGTTCGATACAAGCATATTTATACATAAACAAAAGTGTGGGTAGAGTTTGACTGGAAAAAATCAAAAACCCTTTAATCTATCTCAAAGTGCTGTCTTTTGATGCTGTCTTTGATGGTCAGACCAAACAACACTGGAAATGGGAGCGCTCAAAAATCATGAACTTTACAAAACAGTGAATTCAAAGTCACAAGCTTTGTAACTGTAAGATGAAGATAAGACAAAAATAACTGCACTTTAAATAAGGACTGCTTGCTTCTGTCAGTGTTTCCTGCATGACAAAAATGTAATTTTAGCAACAGACCTGCAGGGGGGGTTGAGTGTAGCGAGTTGCAAACAACTTTGAATTCACAAGATAAAAGTGCATTACTGTGCAATCATTGGTTACGTGAGAAAAAACAGAAAATAATGAAAAAAAATGCAATAATTTTGGAGGTGTTAATATTCTCACGTGGGAAGAGAAAATAATTTCTATTTAATGGTGACACTGATGAACCAAAACCAGCTTTATGACAAATCGGCTGAGGTAAATCATACACTGTAGAGCTATTGTATGTACCTGGAATATGTTGGGAATAATTGTATAGTAATGTTCATTCTGTTCCTTGTTGAACTTCTCCAGGTAGGCGGCGTATTCGCTCTTACTGTCACTAGCCATCTGGTGCCTCATCTGAGCTTGCTGTCGTGCCTGAAGAAAAGACACACACACAAGCACATATATCACAACCACATTCTCTTCACTAACCTCGTGTCCCCTGATGAAAACAGACCACAGACACAGCCAGAGCATAAAAACCTAAATGAGTCAACTATTTGTGTATATGAGCACTCATGCATGCACATGTACACACATATTCACAGAGAGCTTGTGAATGCATATCTAAAGGTGCAATTCAGAGTTGTGAAGCAGCAACAGCCTTTGGCATTAGATTATATGTAGGGCAGAACAAACAAATAAAGAAGACGACAACAGCCTGCACAGGCTGCAGAATGGAGGGATTTGGATTTTCTCTGTCCGCCCCGTCTGGCCTGCCTCTGCTGTCGATAATGTTGATTATTTTAAGCTAGTCTAAGGGAAGGAAGGAAGGCAGTCAGAAATGCTGCAGGAGAGGCCTATTACGAATCTAAGCAGATGGAGATGAGATTATCTCAGCTAGACAGCCTGTGCGGGTTGTGTGTATGTGCGTTAGTGTTGCGTGCAGCTAAGTACTCCTATCTGTTTCCTCTTTCCATCAGACCTAAGGCCGTCCTCACATAAATACTGATTTCAATGGGTCATCTGTAACAAAGAGTTACCTCATGAACCTGTGATTGTGATCAGCATTTAATCTGCTGAAGGCTACACAGAAAAAAGAGCAGCTGTATAACTGTATGAGCCAGCCAAGGAAACATAACCCTGATCTCTCATAGTGAAGAGGAAACATTTAAAGGACTTCATCCAGTTTTCACCTACACACCGAACTAAGAGCAAGAGCAGAGTATCTCTAACTCACTGACTCATTTACTCACACTCACACACACACACACACACACACACACACACACACACACACACACACACACACACACA